TGACTGAACCAAGGCCATATACAACAAGTTTGCAGTAGTCTTCTGGATTTCTTAACTCCTAGTCTGTTGCTTTTTTCTAATATACTGACCTCCTGAATGACCAAAAGAAGACAAACAACTATCCTATCATCAAAGGCACTAAGACAAAAAGCAACCTACTAGCAATTTATCTCTACCTCCTTTGTTATAAGGTTAATTGGTGCCTCAATTTTTTAATTCTTAAAAATCTAGAGATCTAGCTATGCGTGGAAAGCCTATAACTTGGCTTCCACTGTTTCAAAGTAAGCTTCAGGCCTCCACTGCTATTCTTCAGGTAGACTGCTTCTACTGATTACTGTCACAAGCATCTAATATTTAAGAAAATAACTTTCTTAATTAACATTAAACAATACTATTAAGAACCTAAAATGTTAAACAACTTACAAAAGGAATAAAAGATCTAAAGTAAAAAAAGAATTAACCTGTAGCATTAATCTGAAGCAAGTAGGTAAATCCAATGACAAGAACTAGAAAATGGGTGATGATGGTGCTACAATCTTTACGGAATTTAGGATATTAGGAAAAAAAACAGAAAATGTAATAACTACTGCCTTGTTAACAGTTATGGAATTATCAATATTCATACTGAGAAATCTATCTGATAGATGATATATCACAAACAGCAATAATTTACAGTAAAAATAAGTTACAGAAAAAGCTACACATCAAACACCCATCAATTGAGAATACAACAATGGATAAATAATAGGTGTCACACTATTAAGCATAGGTAGAAAATAACCCAATGGAGAAAGAAGAAAGGGGAAAAGGAAAACAGAATCATAGAATTTACACACACAAAAAAAAACCTTAAATCTGACAAGGACATAATGACAACTTACAAAATGTATGCATAACAAGTAATTTTGCTTAATACTGATAAGCATTTGCTTCAACATGGTAGTCTTATACCTTGAAGTGATTGTTCCCTCTTCTAAAGTAGCAAAGCACTTTGTAACTGTCAACAGTGATAATGAAGCTGACATTCATATAACACTTTTGGATTTATAAAGCCCTTTATATACATTATCTTATTTGATCCTCACAACAACCTAATGAGTTAGAAGGCAAAATTACTGGTGTACAGTCACATAGGCAGGGCACTAAGTGGCTGAGCCAGGATTCAAATCTAAGTCTTACCATTCTAAGTCTGGAATTCCTTTGCCAACACACAGACTCTTACTAAGTTATTTTTGTACTTATCTCTTATTAGACAATAAGCTCTGTGATGGCAATGACTTCAACTTTGTATTATTCTCTCCAAATCCTTAGCAAAACGATTTGCTGAGCACATGTGGAATAAACCTTAAAGCTGGATTTTACTAGTTCAATTCCCACATTTTACTAAATGGGAAACTGAGGCTCAACAAGATAAAGTAACAAATAAAAACTAAAAAGGAAAAAAAAGAGTCAGTGAATTTGAATTCCCTTTGAACATTCAAAAGGACTTTTTTATGATAAATAATACAGTTATCAATTAGTTAAGTCACATTTACTGCAGGATATATATTATATTTTAGGACACTGATTAATTATCAGGATGTAGAGGTCAAAAATATCGTTAGTGTTTTTGTTTCTAGAATTAATCAAGTTATAAAACACCTCCAAAGCAGGAATATTCTTTGTGTAGAATATCCTTTTGGCAGTCTAGTAAAGCCAGTGGACCCCTCCTCACAATAGCATTTTAAATACGTAAAATTATAACAAACATCAGTTAATCGTAAAAGACTAATCAGAAAAAGTATTTACGTTCAGTTCACAGACCCTAAGTTAGCATTCTGTGCTCTAAAGCTTCAGGCAAGTTTTGATGGGAAGCACAAATAGGTACTTGACAAAAACTAGATTACAGCTGAGGTGGCACATATAGTATAGCAATTATAGAAGTCCCTCACCAGATCAATGGTGTATCCACAAGCTAAAACACAAAACTTTATAATAAAAATGTAAGTATAAGAAGTAATTTTAGCTGCTTTGATGTTGTTTTTATACTGCTATAACACAGAAGTCTTAATGAGGCCTTCAAGAGCGATTCTAGAGATATCATTTGTTTTCCCAGGCTTCCTGAAGATAAAATGAAGACATAGCATTTGGGGCTTAGTGGATTAATGCTGATTTTTTTTTCATTTCTTGAGTGCCGGATTTAAACTCAACATGGCCTCAGTTCAATTTTTAGTGGGCACCAGTCCATGTTAAAAAAATCACCACACATGTGGGAACTATTCCCAAACAATTGGTGCTATTTGGTCAGAAGTGGGGAAAAGATTGGCATTAAGGGTGTTACAGGCCAGAATGCAGGTGCACTGGCAGGGCTGCACAGAGAAGTTTTAAAAAGCTCATGCCTCCATCATACCAACTCTAGGGATTCCAAATACTATTATTTTCATGAGCATTAAACACACAATGTATTGCTATAAAAAAGCAATAGATATTACATAACAGCATGCACAATTTTATTATTCTGTTATAGTAACATGGTTTTATTTTCTCAAGTCTCATGCCAGCACCAAGTCAGCCAGCCATTAAAAGTTGAAGACATAGAAGTACTCTCCAGGCCCTTGCTTAAATTATTCAGGTTCAGCCATTTTCCCTTCTTCCTTTTAAGAGGAAGTGATGAGTGGGGGGTCAGTGAAAAACAGAAGAAGTTTACAGAATCCCATCCTTTATCTATCATAATGCAATTTGGAATAAGTCAACCTGTAAATATTTCTCTTTAGTTCAGTATCAAAGGGGGTGGAAAAGAGTCACCCTGTAGTTTTTATGGGAATTCTAAATCAGCTGGTAGCCTTCATCACTCACATTGATTTTCTAAAAAACACTTGGGAATTGCTGACAAGGTTCAGTATTGTACAGAATATTAAATATCTTTTTTGTAATACACCAGCGACTCAAGTCTGTCTTTTGCAAGACCATATGTACAGCTGCGCTGGAAAGAGGAAGCTATTAAATATATTAAAAAAAAAACTAGAAATATTACCAATAAAGACACTTCATCAAACAACCTGGTCCCTATTCATCCCCATGCAAAGCAAAAAAATGTTTAAGGATATAGAACATAAGAAAATCATTTTGGATACAATAACATTATAAGCCTAGTAATACTTTAAAGCAACAATTTTATTTCAAACAATACTAATCAATTTTATTTAATAGTCAACATACATACGCAAACTTTTTTCATGTAGAAACTAGACTGTCAATTGCCATTTTTTTGAATAAATGATACCATGTTAAGAAAAGATCCTAAATCAAGGAAAATTGGAGGTTATTTCAAACTAAGAATTTTTAAGTTTGCAGTTGGGTCGATTTATATTTGGAAAATGTACTCTTAATAGAAGGTCAATAACATTTGAACTATTAAATATTTGAAAATACAATATAAAATATGAAAATGAATGCAGTATAAGAAATTCATAGTCATGACACTTTTAGAAGTATGTTCAAAACATTATAAAGAGTCACTAAAGCATCATCTGACTTGTATAAAATAAAGCAATTTTAACATACACACAAATATGATTTTAAAAAACAACTTAACTCCTACAACATGAAAAAGCTCAATGGATAATAAAACAGCCTTTTAGAAAGGAAATGCAAAATGCATTTCATTATGCTACTAAGAGCACAGACACAATCAGCTTTAACTTTTTACCTTTCCCCTCTTTTCCTTAGGACATTTTCATTTTAATTATTTTAAAATATTTAATATCACTTTTCACCTTATATTCTTGGCATTTCTTATCACTAACACAAACCTTAGGTCAGGTCTTCGAACATAAGTATTTTCTGGAAGTTCTGAGGTAAAATATACTCCAGCCTATACATTTATAGTCAAAGTATGTGAAATTATGTCATTAGGTAAATTCACACTAGTCAAATGATTTTTAAAGAGGAAATTTGATTGTGGTTATGAGTGAATTACTCACTCTCAAAACATTCTTCCAAGTCTACAGACCTGTAATTCAACCTGTACTTCTTTCCTGACTATATAACAAACTATTTCCTCATACTTATACTTAGGTTAAAAGTTGAATCAGGAAGCAAGTGCCTACTTCTGGAAGTACTCCGTTGCATTTTAATATTTTATGTTGAGGTTTTCACTTGTCTTCTTATTGTTTATATTAAAAATAGGTCTCATGCCTAAATATACATATTAAAAGGCCCTGTTTCCAATGAAGATGTTAAGCTGCTTCTTCATAAGAAATGAATCAGTACTTCTAATCTTGAAGCACTTAGTACAGTCCAAGTATATTAGTTTTGTGGAAGTAATTTTGAATATGCTGGCATGGATACGATGAAAATATAAAAGAAAAGCTATTAGAATAGTCAAGGTCAGAAATGAGACATGTTTGTAACTTGGAAATTCTAGACTTCCAAATGCCTTATAACACACTAAGTAAGTCGTCTTGAAAGGGAGCAACAGTTGGTAGAGAAATAATGAAGACCTATTGCATATGTAATCCCAAAATGGAACAAGAAGTGCTAAGCTTTCAAAATTTAATTTAATATTAAAAATCACTAATGTGATTGATATATTTTTCCACAAGCTACTAAGCTTTGTAACTACTTCATCTCTTTAACTGACTTATTTTCAAAATTATAATTATATACTTACCTGGTTTTAAAAGGTTAAAAGTGACTGCTTCTTACAAGTAATCTTAACCACACCCCAAAAAACTTCATTTATTTAAAGTCATTACCAAAAAAATTAAGATTTGTAATTCCTCAGCAGTTGTTTATTTTCAACTAAAACAGAAATGATAGAATGGAACATGTGCAATTCCACTTTAAAAGGTTTCTTCCTGTGGGTTATTTTTTTACTTTTGATTCATGTGAATGGGGTGGTTAAAAGTTGTCACACTTCATCTAGAAACCTATGCCTCTCAAATAGAAAGTGTTTTGTTTACAAGATGAGAAATACCTTAAGCACTGCAAAATCAAGAAAATAAAATTGCATGACTTACTCTGTTTTCTTTCTCTGTTTGTCCTCAAAGATGTCATTGAGATTGATTGCCACCTGCCCCAAAAATTTATCCAGACCCACCAAAGACCTGTGCATGACTACCAGGAAAAGTATGTATTTCTCTGGATTCCCCTGCATTAGCAATCCAGGGAGCTCAAAAGAAGCCTCTTCTTTCCAGACTGGATCAAGGGTTTTCTCTGCTACAGAGGTAGAGTATTTTTCCTTGCCCAATTGGATGATGGTGTATGTATCATTGGTGCCACTTTTGCCTTTTGGCTTCAGACCTTTGGCTTGAAGCACGGTGACCTGCACGTGAGTTGGAAACCACTTCTGGGCTTGCTCGGATAACATCATTTTGCCTTTTTTTTTATGGGGGGACGGGTCCCCAATACGACACAGAGGGAGACACAAGCAGTAGTAAAAAATAAAAATAAATGAAAATTCCCCAAGCCTAAGTCTTTAACAACAGCATGATAAGGGCACTTCACAGAGACAGAAGCTCTCACAAGGAGCTCAAAGTTGCCCAATTTCTGTTTGCTTCCTATCCAAAAACATACAAAGCCTGCCTCGTGGTGCGGCGAAGCAGCTGCCCCCTGAAAGACCCCGCCTGCCGCCGCCTCTGGGCCGGGCCAGGGGCTGGCATCCCCGGGCCGGGGTCTGCTGGTCGCTCGCTTGCTCCCCGGCTCCTCCCGCCTACGGGGACTGTTAGCTACAAGCTGGGTTTTCAACGCTCCCTCCCGGCCCTGCCCCGGGAGCAGGTGAGGCCTGCCCCGGTCACCTGGCGCCCGGCGGGGCGGGGCGCGGCGTGGTCCGGAGGCTCTCCTCGACCCGCCGCGGGGCTCCCGGGGATCGGTCTCTGTCCTCGGGACGAGGCCGCCCCCTCCCAGCCGCAGCTCACCCCGTGCCTCCGCCGCGGCACCTGCTCAGGCCCCCGTCCCCGCCTCGCTCCCAGCTCTCCCTCAGGTCGGCCCGGCCCGGCCCGCCCCGCGCCCCCCGCCCCCAGTCTAATACGAACCCCCGGCGACCGCGCTCGGGTGGCTACCTGTCCCTCTCCCTGCCTCTCTCTCTCCACCTCCCTCCTCCTCCTGCCCTCCTTCTGCCCTCCTCTCGCCTGCTCCTCCTCCTCTCCTCTCCTCTCAGAAGCGGGGCTGCCGAGCCGCGGCCCTCGCTCCCCGGTCACCTAAGGGGCTGGGCCAGTACAGGCGCGGGCAGGGCGTGAGGATAGGCCGGGGCTTCGGGTCTTTTTAGGGCCCGGAGGCGCCCTTGGGCGGGCGGGCTGCCGGCGGCTGGGGCGGCACTTCCGGTTTGGCCTTCTCCATGTTGGAACGTGGCGGGGGGGGCGCGGCGACGGGGAGGTCAGGGGTCAAACGCTTCCCTGGTTGCCATGGTATCCGTAGGCCGCCTTTGGCCCGAGGCATGACTTTGAGGTGGAGAAGGTGGAAGAAGGAAGCAGCATCTCTTTTGGGGTCATGGAATGGAAGGGACCTGAAAGATCATCTGGCCTGAAGCCTTTATTGTACAGATGGGGAAACTGAGGCTGCACAGGAGACCCAAAGTTCGCAGTGCCCGGGTGCAATCTCTGACTCCACCGCCACCTTTGAGCTCCAGAGCCCGAGCTTCATTGATACAGAATAGGAAACTAAGGTCCAAAGATAAAGGCACACAGCTAGTTGTGGTGGAACCAAGACTAGAGTCAAGTCAACAAGCATTTATTAAGCACCTACTATATGCCAGACGCTTTATTTAGCACTGAAGATATCTCAAAGGCAAAAAAATAAAACAGCCTTTATTTACACTTAAGGAGCTCAAAGACTCATGGGGGAACCAACAAGCAAACAACACTGTACTGCAGGTCAATCATGCTTTCTGACCACCATACCAACAGTTTATACCCAATTTTCCCCACACCAACCCCAACAAATGCATGCTACCACCCCACATCTCTTATTTTTTTCACTAGGTTGACTACAAGGAAATACTTCCCCAATTTTGGAGGCTTAGAGAAGAGCAAAAAGATTAGGTGATTCAGCTCAGAAAACATTAGTGTCATACTTGGTAGAATGCATTATGGGATACAAAGACAAAAATAATTTTTTTGAAAATGTCCATTCCTCCAAGAAACTTACATTCTCCTTGCAGGAAACAGCACAGGCCCAAGTAAGTACAAATATGTATGAAGTGAACTCAAAGATTTCCAAACCTAACAAATCAAACAAACTATATTTCAAAGATACTCAGCCCATTTCCCCTACTCCCAGGAAAACAAAATGTGCATTCTAACAACAAACATTTGTAGATCACCTAAGTTGGCAGAAGGGTTAGTGGGAGACTTGAAGCTCAAATTTAATATTGGCCTTGTCAGGATTTTGCTCCCACCCTTCCTATATAATCTTAATTGGATTTAATAGAGTCAGAAGACCTAGATTCAAATCCTAGTTGTGTTTACTAACCTCTGATGATGACTTTGAGAAACCACTTCATCTCTGTGGACCTCATCTTCCACGCCAGTAAGGGAAAGGTGTGACCAGGTACCATCATCTTACATACTAAATTATTCTCTAGTGATGTGATTTGAAGTTGGGCATTATGGAGGGAGACAAATAAGACCTTGCCTGGGCTATCTTTTGTGTACCCGAGTAGCTGCCAGCTTTTCTTTTGTTTAGGGTTAGGCCTCAGTGGAATGGAGTCTGTGCTGCTGTGGGTTTGGAAGTAGCTTCACCTAGCAGAAATAGTAGGGGTCAGCAGACTTGTATTCTAGTCCTAGCCTCCTCACTGATTCACCTGGTGACTACATGTAAATCTATTAACCTTTAAAACAGTATACACACACACACAGACAGTCAAGCATTTATTGAACAGTTGCTAAGAGCTCCAAATAGATACTACATAAGTGACAGTCACTACCCTCAAGGAGCTTATATTCTAATGGGGGAAAGATGACAAAGTTGCCTGGGGTTGGAAGTGTTGGGGGGAACCTAGTAATGAAAGTACTGAGTACAGCTAAATTGTCTTTGTCTTCCCAACTAGACTAAAAGCTCCATAATTACAAGATCTGTGTCATATATCTTTGTGTCTCTCAGAGCATCTAGCATTAGGGCTTGCTTTGGATATCACAGGCATTCAATAAATATTTGTGAAATTTATGATTCCCTAGCTAACTCACACTTTGAAAACTTCATAGCTTAAGGTTTTATTCCGATGTTCAAGCAATATTCAAAGGCTCTCCATCTGAGAACTTTTTTAAGTCCTCAGATAAGATAATTTTAAATGACCCTTCCCTTTCCTCCCTTTTCAGTAGCTCTGTGTTCACAGGCCCCTACTATAGAACTGAATTGAACTGCAAGAAGCAAAGGGAAGTTAGGGGCATGTTAATTACATGAAATGTTTTATGTTTGTAAGTATGTGAAGCATATTTAGTGGAAAATACTTGGAGAGAGAAAATTATCCCTTTTATCATCATGGAAAAGAAGAGATGCTGTACTTACTTTGACGAATAGCACAACAGAGATAAAAGACTATACCAGGGACCTTGACTATATCTTCTAGTCTTTCAATGCTGTTTAGAGTTGAAGAACTTTGAGGACAGACTTCCCTTGAAGGTATAGGGCATTTCTACTATTTCTTTAGCACCCCTTATATGCAGTACTTTTCATGGTACTCAACATATAGTGGGAACTATGTCTCATTAAAGGTCTTATTAAAGATTAAAATTCAAATCAGTTTGATGAGGCTATCAAACACCAGAGACAACATAATCCTGGACTGAAAGATAACTCAGAACAAAAGAACTGCATTTTAAGTTATCCCAAAGGTTTTACCTTAATGAATGAAAAAAAAAGGAGAATATAATACATTCAAGTAAGAGAGCATGATGATGTTGTTTCAAGGATGGGACTTGGGGGTTGTACATGGAAAGTCAAATCAATATAAAGATCAATAATGTGAATTATAAGCACAAATCTGTCATCTGTATCCTAGAGTGGGCAATTGTCAGCTATAAAGAAGTTGATTCCTAGAAATTTTTTAAAAGACTAGAACAACAGTAGAATTTGTTTGGGAAAAAAAACAGTTTGATAGCTAAAATCTAAAAACATCTTGTGAAGTTTTATTTTAATGAAAACTGCACATACATAAATTGCATTCATAAAAAGTTATCCTTCAGGTGACTGTTAAGTATTTTTGTGTTGTAATAATGCATCAATAAAGAACAATTAGTTATAATAGCGAATGTGTTTCTGAAACACAAACTGCTAGATAAGCTTTATAAAATGATTATAAAGCAGTTTACAAATATCATTTCACCCATTTTTGAAATAATGTATAGTCACATCTAGGGTCTAAGTTAGAAGCTGTTAAATAGTCCACGGCAATGTAATGACATACTTTTAACACAGTTCTATGCTAACTGAAAAGGCAAGAGAGCAGCTCTTTGAGTGAATTTCTGAGCACTTTTCCCATATCACCTAAATTTTCTTTCAGGCTTCCCAGGATTGTCTAAAAGAAAAGCTACTTGAAATCTTTATTTTGGCAAATTCAGACCTTAACTATAGACCTTGCAGGCTAATCAACAGCATTTGTTAAACATCTACTGTCATGAAATGTGCTAAATGCTAAGATAAACAAAACAAGGAGGTGTGGTCCTTGGTCTGTAGGAACTTACACTCCAATAAAGCTAATTAGACACATATACAGATAAGTATGTTACAATTAACTACAAAAGAAGAACACAAAGTGCTAGAAAAGTTGTTGTTCGTCCTTCATTCTGGAAGAGCACCAGTGACATCAGGAAAGTAGTGTCTTGACTTGATTATGAATTGGATTTAAGTGAAATAGAGTTGCACAAATTCATCAGCCTTGCTCTCTCCTCCAGAGCCATCAAAGTCCAGTGGCAAGACAGAAGTCAAGAAAACTTCCTATGACCTGTTATGGGTACCTTTCCTTGGCTATGAAAGTTAGATGAGGAAGGTTCTTCTTGATGGAAGGTTCAGGAAAGAGCTTCATGAAGGTGGTAGTATGTAAGCTTCTGCCCTGAAGAATAGCTAGGACATTGGCAGACTGATATAGGGGAAAGCATCTCCCAAACAGGGAATAAATATAGAGGGGAGAGAACATAGGAAAATCTAATTTGAATGAAATGAAGAGTATGAAAAAAATCCTTCCCAATGATTAAACTGGGTAAGAAGGACTGCCTATACCTAGGTATAGGCAAAACCTGATTTAGGCCCAAGAATGACTGCTTGAGAAAATTGTAGTCTTAGTCACTACCTTGAGACTTTGGCCCCTTCAAAGAAATTGGCTGAAGAGTGGATACTAGGTTCAGAAAATTGCCAGGGTCTTTCTGTCTAAAGAAAAAA